GGGTAGGTTTGTTCCGTTTTGCCTTGGCATTCCCAACGTGCCATGTACGAGTTGAAAGTTCTTCAGGACATTGGACACCGCTATTTTTTGAGGTGATGGAAATGGAGGAATTGGAGCATTTTGCCGGACAGCTGGGTGCATTGATAGTACAGGCTTCAGCTTGCAGTTTTCAAGGAGGAAGGCTATTTGAATATTAGAGATGAGTGGGTGGGGAAGTTGGGGTAATAAACGCAACGCGCAAGCAAATGAGGCTCCATTTGCAGTGTTCCCTGATAAAAGACTGATAATAAGGTTTCGGCAACCGGGCCAAGCTGAGTTCTTTTTGGTGGATGGCTGAAACCAAAGCAAGCCCTGCACTCGAGGCCAGACTGTCCCATTTTGAGCGCCCAGTTGGTATCATCCAACAAACGGCATGTGAGCTGAAACCCACCCAGATGGCCTAAAGCACAGACGTACCTTGCTCAGGACGAACAATTTGCACATAATGCCAGCTGGGGAGCGTAGGAGCGGTCCAACATGGTCCAACCAAATGAACACGCGGTGGACCATGATCCCACTGTGAATCTCAGCTTGTACGATATTCCATTCCAGCAAAGCATCGGTTGAAAAAGTCCCATCTTGTGAATCTTGTGCATAATCGGCAAGGTATCTCTGGGAAGGCACGTGCGCAAAGGTGTCCGAACAAACATTCCGCTCTTCGAGTATGCAGTCAATTTTTTCCTTCCAATTGCATCATGCGAATATTTGGAGGGATTGTTTTTGAAGGGAATTTGACGATTGATGTATGAATCTTTGCGTTGTTATGAATCTTTTCGGAAATCATTGGGGAGGGCTCTTTTCGAAACGCGCAGCAAAACATGGATGCCTCGTTTCCGAAGGGTTTGGGATTGTGTCTTTTGCGTTGTGTTCGGGTTGCAGCTATTTTTGGAAGTATTTATGTAGCAAAGATTACTGGCCAATTTCGGGTTGGGTGTAGTCAAGCAATGCCTAGCAGCAGTTGTCAGGAGATGCATGGAGATGCCTTTAATTTCCCCTCATTTTTCTACAGTAGTTGCGCGCCTTTGGATGCCCATCTTTTCATTTCTTGACATTGAATGTTGGTGATATGGATATGGATCAGCATAGGCCGTGTTGATGTCATTTTTACGCGACGTCTTTTTCGAGCGCCGCAATTGGCCGCTCTTGATTCAGTTCAACGTTGCTACGTTTTGATTTTACTTTTTGGCTTGTTGCTGTTTAAACATTTTTTCACATTGTATTCTCGGTGTAGTACAGTGATCAGCAGCCAAGCTTGCAGAAGCAAAGGATCATGGGATGTTTTCATTACCATTGCCCATCGACCGAAATTTCATGTCAGAACAAGTGAACGCATACCGCAACAGATGAATGCCATTTGTTCGGTGTTCGGTGCCAAAGACATGCTTCATCAACTCCAAAGTGCATTTTTGCAGGGGGGATTGTCAAACAGCAACGTCTTGCCCCTCGAACTTAAGTGGAGTAGTAGCAATGACTTTACTTTTATCAGGAATTCCAAGCCAAGACTGCCATCAAGTCATTTGTGGTTCACTTCTTACACTGGATATGCAGGTCTAGGGACGCAGTACTCCATAAAGTTCTTCAACGAGTTTGCACGTTTTGATAGGTTTGCAATGCAACGCAACATACAGCAAGTCTTGCATGATTTGCACCAACATACACGGTAGGCAGCCATGCCTGATCGCGCCTACAGTACGACAACAGGCCCTTGGCAATGTTTTTTTTGCACCCATGAGCGCCATATCGTGCTACACATTGACATTGTGTCGGCATGCTGTTGTATTGCATATTTGTACAGGACATGTCGGGTGCATGCAGTTCATGTGCATGTGTTCCTCATGAGTCCAGCCCATGGAGCTGGTCCTGGAATCCATCAGAATTTAACACATTAGCTGCGGCAGGAGAACGGGAGGAATTGACGATTGGAACTTCATCATGTGGTTGATGTGATGTTGTTGTGCCACTCTTTTTCCACTCTTGACACTTGCGAAAGTATGAACATGTTTTTGAACATCTAGTTAGGTTGCCAAACTTAGTGGAAGTTTCTTGTACTGCAAATGGCTGCGGTAACTCAGGCCAAGTAGGGATGCTACTTCCTGCCCAACCGGCATGATGCTACGACTGGTTGAAGCACATAACAGGGAGATCAGTGGCCTGAATGCAGACAAAGGTTCAACATTCAACTTGATTACATGCGGCATGGCAGGTGTACCAGAGCTTGTTCCGAATGCCCATGGCAGACATGTCAGTGGCAGTCATTTTTCAGCAGCAGGCCTGTATCGCAGAAGGCGCCTTTCTGAAGGCTGGACTGCACCCATGTGCTGTTTGCCATGAATACCAAAGGACGACGTGCACACAAATCATTACAAAGCTGCAGCATACAGACCAGCAGATCATGTAGTCAGGTCTATTTCACGTCTGACTGGTTTGTCTGGTCTGGCAGCCTGTCCTGACCTTATTTGTAATAGAGCTTGTTTGAGGCTTTAAACGCAAAGGCACTGATGATATGAGTGGCCCAGGGCTTTCAGGAGCTCTTTTGCAGCCTGGTAGCAATGCATTTGGAGGTTCTGCGTGGTTTGTCTCGCAGACCTCATCCCAAGATCGAAAATAACCACGTAACATGATCAGGTTCTTTAGTTTTTAGACAGCGATGTTGTCAGACGCAAAAGGTCATCAGCGACAAAGAATGGTTTTGTTTTTCTGCACTGCCACAAAGCATGTGGACTGCGTGTGCGTTTCGTTTGTAACAATTGCTGCGTTGTACCAATCAATTTTTGAGTGACGTCTGCTGAAGCATTGCTCAGTGTGACCCATGGTGGATTTTAAGAATGCATATCACTTCTGCCACGTTTCAAAAGCCCACTCACAGGAGAACATTGCAGAAGCTGAGTCTGCTTCCAGTGCTTGCTGTATCGGGACCATCTAACGGATATTTCATCTGCCAGCCAACGGTACTGCAGCCCTGACTCGGAAGTCTCCACACATTGCTCTAGGGCAAGGCTAGGTGACCTTTGTGGATGTGTTCAATTTGATCGTAGGGAACATTGGCAGGACTGAGCTACAAAAGGAGGCATGGCAGAAAGTCACGAGACAAGCTAGGAATGATAAGCATTATCTTGCGAGAAAGAACATGTTCTGCATGGGGCATGCCATCACAGAGTCAGCCTCTGGTAAGTTCTGGAGAACTTTGCCCTATTCTGCTTCAGGCGGCGCTCAAGGACTTGCTCGAGGCCGGGATTGAGTTGACTGGCTTCAAGCACAATAGTGAAGTCGAGAGAGATTCGGGAAGCTGCCAGGCCGTGCTCTGGACATGTGCAGCGAGTGCAATGGCCACAAAGCGGTCTTGCGGCCACATCGGCCACATCGGCCACGCAACACAAGTCACAGTGCCGTCCAATGAGAGGCCATGAAGGCGCGTGTCAATTGCTCATGCAAAAAGCATGTTTGAGTGAGTGGAAGCGCGTTTCAACATGTATGGTTCTTTTCTGGTCACGACTACCGGAACTGGACGCGAAATAGCAATTCAATCCACGTTGAATTTGTGCAATAAGGTAGGTTCAAAGAAGAGAGCCTGCATCAGAAGAGTGCATGGACAGGTTTCAGAGGCTCAGAATCATCTCATTCTCACGGAGAAAGCCAGGCTCATATCCAGTTTGATTTTCGGGCTTCAGTTGAATGGTAGCCAGGGTGATGTGCTAGGCATGCAGGGCCTTAAAGCCTGACAGGGCATTCGGAGCTTGCGTGGTGGCTCTTCACGACGAGACCTCTCTCAGCGGGCTTCGACCTTGGCAGACTATGCAGGCAGCTTCAGTGAAAGCTGCTCGGAATATCAGCAAGGGGAACAGGGCCCGAAACGGCCCTGACGTATTTAGATGGCATCTACCGTTAGGTAAGGGAGCCTCTGGCGAGGAAGCAGCTACGTAATGTCAGGTTCGTTAGTGCAGACGCTGCTTGGCTTGAAGCTCAGGTGAAGCGACAGCTCGTGCAGTGTGAGGCTTTGTGTAACCTGCGCTGCTCAGAGAGCGATCGAACTAAGCTTTGAGCCTCGTGGCTGTTTGTTTGGCATCGAAGTGCATTCCGGGATGCATGCAGGCTGGGCAGATCTTGAAGTTGGCAGATTCTTGTGGCGACCACGTCAACCTGGATGGGGCTGTGGCCGCGTGAGCCCCAGGACATACATGTGCAGGATGCAGGTGTGGAGTTTAGCTGAATATTTCAGATATTGTAGTCCCAAATATGGAGTTAGATTTTGGGTATGGTGGTTGGCGTTTGGGAAGAGGAATTGAATTTAATCTTACTTGGACCACGTCCCTGCACAAGGCCCTGCAGACGTTGGCGCGAGATTCCCAGTTTAAGGTGAACGGCAAGGCCGCTGACTATGAAGGTCGTGGATGAGGAAGTGTGGCATGTGGACAGGATCGCAGGGTCAGCAGCATCCTGCAAATCTACCGGAATTCACTGGCGTGCCCTGCTTAGCGGATCGTTCGAGGATGGATTTGCAGAAAACTGCACATGCATTGATTGCAGATGCGTGCAAGGTCAGGCCGTGGCCTCGACCTCTGCCAGTTGTATCCTGAGCATGTGAGCTCATGTGGAACAAGAGTAGCCTGAGACGAGTAAGATCTTGTGCATGCTGAGGCTTACATCGTCACTCTGGGCTTTTGCCCGGCTGCAGCTGTCGCGCGCCTGGATGTGCTAAATGTCGGATCCTGTTCCTGAAAGTCAGGGAGCGTGCTCAGGTTTGACGGGCCTCTTCTTGCTGAGATGCAAGACGCAGTCAAGGAGAAAGTCGAGGAAATGTCATCGCAGGACCGCAGACGCTGCAGCTGCGGCCTCTCAGTATCTGTGAAGTTGGACGTGTGCCTGTTCTTGCATGCCTGCCAAATGCATTCTGGCTCGAGATAGCTGACCGCCGCGTAGAAGTTTTGCATTTTAGCGAGCTCAGTTTGTGCTTCGTAGCCAACATGAAGACTGAGGTTGCTGCGTTCTGCGCAGTTGGAGCAGGTGCCTGTGTTGCAAGTGCCTTCGTGTCAACCCCAGGCGTACAGGAGAGCAGAGGACGCCTCAGAGCGTCTCACATCGCAAGCCAGTCGTCAGCAGCCAGCACTTCGAGCTCCTCCGTGGTCTTGGCATCTGCCGCCGCAGGGATGGCAGTTGCCGCGGTTGGTGCTGGCAAAAGCCGCCGTACACGCACACAGCAGAAGGCCCGCGGTGGATTCGACACCGTCAAGTCAGAGGAAGTCTTCACTGAAGCCAAGACGTTGATGCCGGGTGGGGTGTCCAGCCCTGTTCGCGCCTTCAAGTCGGTTGGAGGAAATCCAGTCGTCTTTGACCGTGTCAAGGGTGCCTATGCATGGGATGTAGATGGAAACCAGTATGTTGACTATGTGGGTACATGGGGGCCTGCCATCATCGGGCATGCAGATGACACGGTTCTGAAGGCACTCAATGAGCAGATGCAAAAAGGCACCTCCTTCGGCGCTCCTTGTGCGCTGGAGAACGAGCTTGCAAAGATGGTGATTGATGCCGTGCCCTCGGTGGAGATGGTTCGATTCACGAACAGCGGAACTGAGGCCTGCATGGGCATGCTCCGCCTGGTTCGAGCCTTCACCAAGCGTGACGTGGTCATCAAGTTCGAGGGCTGCTACCATGGCCACGGTGACGCCTTTTTGGTGCAAGCAGGCTCCGGCGTTGCCACGCTCGGGCTGCCAGACTCCCCTGGTGTTCCTAAGGGAGCCACCACTAGCACCCTGTGTGCCCAGTACAACAACCTCGACTCCGTGGAGGAACTCCTGAAGGAGAACGAGGTTGCAGCCGTCATCCTCGAGCCGGTGGTGGGAAACTCGGGCTTCATCCCGCCCACCAAGGAGTTCCTGGTAGGCCTCAGGGAGCTGACCACCAAGTACGGGGCACTGCTTGTCTTTGACGAGGTGATGACCGGCTTCCGCATTGCCTATGGCGGTGCGCAGGAACACTTCGGGGTGACTCCAGATGTCACTACCATGGGTGCCTCGGCCTTATGAAAGGCTTTGTGCACAGGCGCGCAAACCACATGTGAAGCTGAGGCAAGGTGATTGGAGGCGGCCTGCCCGTGGGCGCCTACGGCGGCCGCAAGGACATCATGGAGATGGTCGCGCCTGCAGGACCTATGTACCAGGCTGGCACGCTCAGCGGCAACCCCCTTGCAATGACAGCCGGAATCGAGACGCTGAAGAGGCTGAAGGACCGCTCTATAAAGCAGAGCCCAGGCATGACCCCATGCCATGATGAAGCTCTCGTCTCAGGAGGCGGGCAGCTACGAACACCTGGATAAGATCACTGGCAAGCTTATCAATGGCAGCTTGACTGGGAGGGGCTTCATGTCTCCTGTTGGCTCAGTCGAATTTCTGTTAATGTATGTTTTGTGGCTGCCGTGCTGCGTTCTCCAGCCGAGGTATCCTAGATGCTGCTCGTGAGCATGGACACCAGGCAAGATACAAAAACCATTCAAAGCATTGAGATTTTCTAGAGAATGAGTGAATCATGGAAGTCGACTGCCTGCGCTACACCTTCAGGTCTGCGGTGGCCACATTAGCGGCATGTTCGGTTTCTTCTTCTGCGAGGGCCCCGTTACCTGCTTCGCAGATGCCACGAAGAGTGACACGGAGAAGTTTGCCAAGTGGCACAGAATGATGCTGCAGAAGGTTTGCGGCTGAGTCATGACCATTAGCCCATTTGGATGGGTCAAAGTTATGAAGCGAATTGAAACGACATTTCCTGCGGCCTCGACAGGGCATCTACCTGGCGCCATCCCAGTACGAAGCCGGGTTCACGTCCCTTGCGCACACAGAGGAGGACATTGAGATTCTCGGAGATGTATTAAGAGGGAACCTCTGGACACGGACAAGCTGTGTGCATGCTGTGCTTTGTCCGACTCAGGAAAACCATTGCTGCGGCCAAAGAGGTCTTCGCTGAGCTGTAAATCCTACAGCTCTGACTCTTGATTTGTTTTTTTGACAACGCTTGGAGGAGCGTGGCATGTGCCACTGCATCCAGCTAGGGTCTCAATTCTTTACCCTCAGTTTTACCGGAGTATCTTGCGACCCTCTTGTATGCGTCAACACAGGCACCAACATGTACCAGAACTCGCCATTCTTGTTATGTAGAGCCAAAGAATTAAAAAGAGCCGCAAAGGTGTTCTAGTTCTTTTGGTCGTCTGTTACGCAAGGATCATGCCATGACGTGCGAGGCCAACATTTAAAGTCGGGCCTCTCACGGGTCTCACGCTTCCGCGAGCGCAGAGTCTAGCAAACATATTGTGACAGGCGCGCGTGCCCGAGGAACTCAGAAAAGGACAGCTAGTACTGTGCCACATCTCTACATGTTAGGATTAAGCAGTCGAGCGGCAAGTGAAGAAGGACTACCCCCAGACCCGCCTCCGAACAGTGCAACTTCGGATGCAGGAGATTTCGTCAACAGCCTGGGCTTTTGCGAGGCGCCTGTGCATCCATACGAAACCATGCTGAAGTCATTCAAACGCAACCGAAACCTCTTTGCCTTGTTTTGTGCTCCCCTTCCATTTCAACCTTGCCCGGGCAGTCACCTGGTTCTTTGGCTCAGTGCTTGCTCAGTGTTGGCACAGACATTGCGCGAGTTGTTTCTGCGTTTTTTGGTCCGTTTGACAGCTTGAGATGTTCCACTGCCAAATTGCCATGATCACGATGCTCGAAAAGCTTGTGATGTTGATGTTTTTCGTGCTTTTGTGTGTGTCCGAGAGATTGTGATATGCACAGGTTCGGCCATGAAGCCTATCAGTTTTAGGCATTTCGGCATGTGTTGCTCGGTGGTATTCCGCTGTCGTGTGAGGTGCACTGAGCCATTTGGATTTGCACTTTGTGCACAGCCTTTCCTCAAGCGGCTTTCCTCAAGCAGGTGCCAAGCAACAGCAACCTGACAGTGGGTTTGCGCCAAAGTTGTGGCGTTACTTTCTTCCCAAATCATTCTATGGCCTTCTCGACATCCTTCCTCACCGTGAGTGCAAGTTGTGTTTTGATGCTTTCCTGCCAGAGTTTGAGGTGAATTAGCTGCGCTGATGGATAACTGCTGGTGCTTGCAAGTCTGACTGTTCTGGCTGCCTGCTTATAAGTTTTAAGGGTTTATGTCTGTTGCAGTCGGTCTGCACGCTGGCTGGTCATATAGTCCGGTCGGAGGATCGATGCGAAGGTCCAGAGTGATTGATAAGGCTCTCGGGATTCTAATTTCGCAAGCAGCCGCTGCCAGCACGCATGGATTGTGCGTGCCACATGGTGCGGGCCGTGCCCTGAACTTGTGTGCGTTGTCAGCTAATTCGTCATGGACGTTGGCTGCCAGTCGAGGAACGAACGTGTGGCTTCGACCCTAGTCCAGTCGCCTTCTACACTTTCAGCCACTTGTTTGTTAATCCAAGTATGCGGTTGTCTCTGGCCATCAGCTCGTTTTTGTCAATCAGAATACCCTCGGGCTCCGCTCCGGGTGGTGGAACGAGCCAGTAGCACGGTCGATTTTAGTGATGGGAGCTCGGCAAACAAATTTGGGGGGTTGCACCCCGGGGCCTCCAGAACCAAGCGCCAGGAGTCCAGCATTTTTTTGCTACGCACAAGGCAGAGTTCTTTAGGGAAGAGTTGCTTACCTTTGACGTTGGCTTCAACCAAAGCAATGATGGTAAGGCTTTCCATAGTTTGAAAGGTTTCCACACTGCTTTAAGCAAGCTGGGGTCCTCAAAGGCCTCAACTACGCATCGCATGAGCACCCTTGCTTCTCACGCGTTGTGCATTGGGATGGATGGACGCTGCTGCATGTAACGCATGGGCGACTTTGCTTTTGTTTTTTCATTGGTTTGCTAAGTCCAAATCGCACAAGAAGAAGTGGAAGCGGATACCCACCACATCCTGGAACCGTCCTTTTACAACCCCAAATTGACATCCATCAGCACCTATAATGGTCACTGACGCCGAAACCCCTAAACCCCTTAAGTAGGACTTGGACCCCTTAACGTTATGTTAGCTCGGTGATGAGGATGATGACGATGATGGGTGCGCAGCCAAACACGGGCCTTCTCCTGCCCCCTGGAGGAAACCAAAGCAATGAAGTTCACAACTGGAAAGCGCTGCATCGAGTATCGAATGGCACCTGCCGAGCATAATCTGCAAGAACAACATCGCCAAATCACTGCAAGGCCATGCGTAAACATCGAACGGGCAGGTTGGAACCCAGAAGCCGCCTCCGTGAAGCGCGTGCAGCCCCTCTGCACGCGCTCTGTGCCCCTCCTCGTTGGCTCTCTACTGGTCCAATTTTCCGCGAGCGAGATCATTTTGAAACGAGTGCAAGGCCAGATTTCGGACAACACTGGCATGCTGTTGGCGCTATGCGTCGGTTATTCACACGGCCAGCAGACGGGAGAGGGGCAGGCCCTTTGAACAAGAGCAGCATGGAGCAGCCAAGACACGGCCCGCGATGGCACGTAAAGAGATGTAAGAGTGTGGCCATTGTGTTCGCGTGATGAGCCGCGCCGCGCAATCAAAGGCTGCCATGACACAAAGTGAACTCGGGATATGCTGTTGTACCCACACCGCCCATCCAACGACGCCAGCCGCACCGGTCCGCACATGGGCCGCCAAGACATGGGCATCCGCACGAACCTTCAAGGCAAACAGGTATGGTCGCGTGGTTTCATCAGTAGTTTTCGGCTAAATCGCGTGAGACCAAGTGGCGAAAACAGCCGCCTGTTGTCCTTCCCCGCACCCCGGTTCCATGCTTTTGCATCGTCGGTTGGCACTGGTCAGGTTGATGGACGCACGCGTGACGAGATCTAGGGCTGCCACATCTTGGAGCAGGAGCTTCAGGTGTTCTGCCCGCATTCCCACCCCACTTGGCATCGCGCAGGGCCGTGCCCATCAGCCAAGCGGAGTACGCGCCTGCCGGGGCAAAGGCACGGAGCAACGGGAACTGCTCGATCAGCTGCCCCATCTATTGGATCTGCAATGCGCATGGTTGTTGCTCGCCCTGTGCGTGGCCCCATGTGCCGGCCATGCTCTGCGGACGGTCCCGCCAGCAATGGTGACCCCACATCTCATGATAAAGTTTGGGACACTTTGAGACGTCTCCTTGGCAGACTTTCGGCAAGGAAACAAAACATGTGCGAGCCTTGGCAGATCTCCCAGCCGTCTGGGAGCCTCGGACGGGTGTCCGCCCGAAGAGCGGTGCCAGCTACTTGCTGGGCAGGGTGATGTTCAGCCAGTCTTCCGCTAGCACCCTCCAGTCTTCGCCGAGTTTTGCGTGGATTCGTTCGCTAATCAGCGAGCATGGAGCCGGATGCGGCAGCGCAAGCGTGCGCTTTCCTACAATATGAAGAGACAAAAATTTGGGTAATTGACCGTGCGGCTGGCTCCCACGCGTCGCGAACTCGCAATCTACAATTCCGCGTGCGCGTGTTTCTGCCGTTTTCGTTGCCAGTCGCAAAGGAAGAAGGTCGCAAGGCGACAGCTTTGACTGGCACTGACATGTCCCCTGGATGGCCATTCGTGGTGTTTGTCCCACATTAGGATCAAATGCTTATGTGGTCAGAGCTGTGGTGCCGTGGATAACATGGTTGGGGTATGCCAAAATGGTGTTTGAGCACGACCAAGAGTCAGCATCGCGAAACAGAGCAAGTTCTGCAAGAACTTGGACATGATCATGTGCACATCCGCATGGCTCCATGTAACAGCAATGCCAGTCAAGTGATGCGGAAAACTGTAATCGTACGATGGCTGGAATGCTTCGCACGGGGCATTGGCCGAGGTTTGCCCGCAGATGCGTGTGCCATTGGACATGAATCATCCCGTGGTTGCTTGGCTGTGGCGTTGATCTGACAAGCTGACTCCATTTTCCATTTCGAAGTGCCACCGGGCGGGAGTACACAATTCCAATCGTACAATTTGGAGGAATTGTCCTAACCAAGGACCCTAACACGAAAAACCTGAATGTAGAGCTAAGCCGGGTTCAAAGGGGTGTTTGTTGGTCGTTTAAAGCTCGACAGCTCAGTTGTGGTGTTGACCGATGTTGGAGCAATCACAGTTCGAATTGTTAGGCGCATTGCCTACGCGGATCAACACGATCTTGCCCACCTTTGCTTGCGGCTCTCGATGGCTCTTGGCGCGCCAGGGGTCCAGTAACGTGAGCACGTTATCGGCTCCACCGGCCCCCGACTTCAGTAGCCAGGACGCACAGCCTTTGTCCCCGCTCCGGATAGGCGGCGTGTTTGCGCCTTTCGGCCACCAACAGTGCCGCTCGTGACTGGGCTTACAAGCGTGGCATCGCAGCACTGTGGGGAGGCGCCGTATACACCACGAGGTCGGGAGGTGGGGGCGCCGGCGGTCCGATGCCAGCACTCCCGGGGCGGAGGTGTGCGTTAGCCACTGCTGGGGGACGACCCCTATGGCCCGACGGCTTCGCGGCACACCGCGATCCACGCCCGCTCGAGCAATTTGGCCCGCTTCGCCAAGTAGCCAGTGCGCGGCCATGCGAGAGCATGATCCTCCAGACGTCAAGCCGTCTTCCGCAGCCGTGGCCTTCTTGGCCGCAAGTGGCAGGGCCCAGGGGCAAGCGCAAACGCAGACGGCGGCGCAAAACGATTTGCATCACCTCGGGTGGGAGCGCGTTGGCCCTGTCCACCGGCACTGCTGTCAGCCAGGCCGCCGCTTGTTGGCCGGACTGGGAGAGCAGGATGGCCCGGTGGGCTTGTTCCAAGGTCGGCAACGGCACGCGGTCGCGGATGTAGTTGGTACGAGTACGCTACGCATGAAACTACCAACCGTGTGGCCAGTCACCGGGCCCAGCTTCCCCTGCAGGGCCGGTCGCAGGCACGTTGTCCGTGAGGGCAGCCCAAGCTGGACAATCGCTCCAACCATCGTTCCGCAGCAAATTAGCTGCGGTCTGTGCCGCGCACATGGCTGGGCGCCCAACGCTTCCGCGTGCCCGTGCGGGCCCTGGCCAAGTCGGGACGTGCAGGACAAACGGTTTTTGTTTTGGGCGCTTCAAGTTCATTGTGGTCGGGGCAGCAGAAGGCTAGGCAGCCCAAGGCCTCCAAGAGCTGCGGGCAGGGTGGCAGTAGCTGCCAGAAACCGGGGCGTGAACCGCATTCCATCCAATTTCATGAACCATTGAGCCTGGCAGAATTCTCGAGGGCAGCACACCAAGTAGCACGTGGCCGTCCAACAGCGCAAGGTCTACCAGGGGACCACTGCATTGCATGTTTCACCCATTTGACGTCAGGTAGCTGGGCTACGTGATGAGCAAAAAGACAGGGTTAGAACTGGGGCCAAGGGTGACCCCAGCCGCGGAGGCAAATCCATTGAAATATTGCAACCTGGCAGTGATTGACACATGGCGGTTGCAGAACGCGGCTCGGCTTGCTTAGCTTGCTTTCTGGCCCCGTTTCAATGAGAGTCCACGTCGGCAGTAGCATTCCGAGGCCCAGGTGCAGAAATTGTGCGAGTCTGCACGCGGAAGCGCGTCTACCTGCAAGCCAGCTGATGCAAAATAATTGTTAGGGGCCTGGGCTTCTTTCGTGAGAATTTCCTTCCTTGATGGATTCGGAACCAGCCCAACGCTGGCACAACAACGAACAACTCCATCGAGCAAGCGAAGTGTTTCACGCCGAGACTTGGCAAAAAACAAGATATCATCTGCAAATCGCAAATCCAGCAACAAAGGCATGCCATCCTTAAGAGCGGGCATGGGCCCAAGTTGCGCGCGAAGCATTGGGGCGAGAAGGCCGAGTGGTTCCTCAGTGGCTTGCCAACATCACTGCGCCCGGTGTGGCGCCGGAGGACCGCCGCCGCCTGGACCTCATTGTGTACGGCGCTACGACAAACGGGGTAGCTCTGTGTTGCGAACCGACACTGGTGTCTGCCCTGACCTGCGATGGCCAGCCCGCGCATGCGGCAGATTCCCGGGATGGTGCCGATCTCAACATTGCCAAGCGGCGGAAAGCTGCACGCTGTCCGGAGCTCGGCCGAGGCGGGCCCCAGCGACTGCGCGTGCTAGCCGCAGAGGTCGGCGGGCGTAACCCCACCAGCAAAACGGTATTGAACAACAATTGCAACCGCTCCAAAATACATGTCGGTGCATGTTGCAGAATTTCTGCCACTACACCCTCCTCATCTGCGGCCTTGCCGGGCTTGACGTCATATGGCTTGTTGGATCTCCAGCATTGTCCACTCCGGGTCTGTAAAGATTTTCAGCCGGTTTGGCTCCACGTGTTCATCGAAAAAAACCGGACAGCATGTCTGCAAAAAAAATTCGTCGGATTGAGGCTGTTGTGTCAAATGTCTTCCATTGACAGCTTGGAGAACTGGCCTCACATGACGCCAAGGAGATTCACAACGGAGAGCGTGAATAAGCCTTTGGGATGTCCATGTGCGAACTTCCGCCTGTGCAGCCGGCAGATTTGAGGCTCAACGATTTGCGTGCTTGAGGGATCCACCGTAGACGCCGCAAACCCTTCAGCCTGGCGTGGGTGACTGCGGACGAATAGCTGTTTCATCGGTAGTGTCACCACGCATAGCACACAACGATGGTAAAAAGAAGACCCAGTACCGATACAGTCATCAACCCATGTCATCCGTGGTTGAGCAAAAGCATCCCAAAATGAAATCAATTTGTGGTTTTTAGCTGCATCACGTGCACAGCGACATGACCACCAGTCATACAACAGGGTTCTTCGATCATGATGTCAGCTGTGCAACGACCCAGCTTGCAAATGCCGCCTTGTCTTCGGGGTCGAGGTCGGTGGCCGCTGGTCGCGTGAGGCAGCCCAGTTCATCCGTTTGCTGGCGCGCGCTCGCGCAGCAGTGGCGCCAGGCTGCCCTGCGCGTCACCGCCCGCGGCGCCTGGGTACAACGATTGAGTGGCATCCTTTTTGTCGCAGCACAGCGAGCCTTTGTAACATCGTTGCTGGAGCTGCCGCTGCGCGGGGAGTGCCCTGGAGGCGGCCCCGAGACCGAGTTGCATGAGGTCCTTGCGGATTCACGCTGGACCGCTGCCCCAGCCGCAAGCCGGGTCGCGGCACGCGCGGCATGAGTAGCTCGGCTCGGCCTACACGGGGGCCGTGATGGGCTGGGACTCAGGACTGACTACCGAAACATGAACAGTGAGACGCCCATCCCCGTGCCCTCTTCACCGCCCTCGCCCGCGCCAGGGTCGCCCGATTCCCCGCGCTTTGGGGATTCAACGCCTCCGGCACTTGCGGCCGCGTGCCCTGTATGTCTCGAGGAACCGTCCCGGCCGCCAGGGGCCAGCGACTCGCTGTTCCCATGCTGCGGTGCCTTCGCGCACCTGCCCTGCATCCTGCAATGTGTCCATCACCATGGGCAATGCCCCAACTGCAGACGTGATTTGGCTTATTTGTTGCACGATCGCCGCTTCGCAATGCTATGTGCAACTGCGGGCGTGCCTATGGCAGCCACGCCGCTCGACGGGGGCGCCACGGCCCACCAAGTCGTGCGCACGTTTTCCCGTGCAGACGCGCCTGGGCCTCCAGAGCCGCAAGGCGTGCGGGCCAATTGTTGCGCTCGAATTGCGGGGCCAGCTATGGGTTTCGTTGAGTTGCTCACCGGTCCCGCACCGGGGCGTGGGAGGCATCGCGGCTTGGACCGGCATGTGGCTTTGCCTGCGATGCCAGCAAGAGCTGCAGGCTGCCCGTGTGCAAGTCCCTCAACTCCAGCCACGCTGCGACCTCTGCCACGTGCCAATGTGGTGGGAGGTCGACATGCGGGCTGGCACCAAGCGCTGGGTTTGCAACAGGTGCCCGCTCGCTGGACCCTTGCCGCACTCCTCCCAGGCCCACCTCAGCTTGAGCACTCGCGCCAACTCAGCACCCAACGGCCTAGTGCGGGTTCCGTTGCCCGGGCCCCGGTGTCTCAACTGCGCCCGGCCCAGCCGCTGACTGCGTTTTCGTCGGGCCCCCTGACTTGCCGTTGCGGGCCCCCACGTATTCGTGCGTGTATGTGCCGCTGTTGCTGGACGCTGCTGGCCTCCTGGCCTCGGAAGCGCGCAACGCCTGGCATACCCATCCTGCCTTTGCGCCGTGGTGGCCCGGCACTGTCCAGGCCCTCTCAGCGCGACCTTCACTGTCAGTGCGCCATGTTGCCGATGTGGCACGGGCCGCTGTCGCTGTCGCAGTCGCCGCCCCAAAACACGCTGCCAGTTTCGCGGGCCTGCTTGCGTGGACTGCTGGCGCTGCCGGCCCCATGACATCCTTGGCGGAACTTGTCAGAGACATCAGCCGCGGTGAGCGGGGCTTTTACATCCCTGGGCCTGTCCAAGAATTGCTGCTCACTATTCCTTTGGGCGAGGCTGAGGCGGCGGCCTTGGCACGGCGCCTTGATGGTCTCAGGCCCATGCCAGCTGGCCCATCGCAGCCACGCCACCTGCACAAGCGCTTGCGGAGCCACCCGCTGCGCCACCCGCCCCCTCAGCACGTCCGCGCCTACTGCTCACCTGGGGAAACGTCACCCCCACTGGCGCGGATGCACCCAACCAAGCGGAGGATTGCCACCCCACCGCCCGAAGGGCTCTCCCCGTGCACTGGCGTGCTGGCCGACCCGGTACGGTCCGACTACACCATCGTCGGGCCGCCGCAACTGCCACTGCAGGACGCCACGTACTCATGCATTTACGTGCCGCTTTTGCTGGATGCAGCCGGCATCTTGGCCCTGCCCGCGCGGCGACAATGGCGTGAGCATCCTGTCTTCGCGCCCTGGTGGGGAGTTACTGTTGACGCACTGCTGTCGCGGCCCATCCTGCCTGTGCACCAGGTGCTGGCAGGCATCAACAACATTGCCCGTGCACATAGCCCTTCCTCCCAAGCTGCCCTGGCGCGTGTCTGGGAATGGGCAGCGCTGCGAGGGCCTGGCCAGGTCACGTCGCTTGCAGTCTTCGTGCGCGAAGTCGGGCAACAGGCTCATGGTTACTACCTGTACGGCCCTTTGCAGGAAGTGCTGCTCGTGCTCCTGCTGGGCGCAAATGCCGCTGCCACTCTTGCTCACAGGCTTGATGCCCTACGAGCTCCTCTCAGTCCCGAAAACGATCAACCTGCTCATGCCCTCCCCGGGGTTGATCATCGTGATGCCGGGGACCCGCCAGAACAGCCGCCACCTGCTGGCCCCACTGCACCTGACACCGGCGAGGTGCCGCATGAGCAGGTACCCAGTGCGGAAAACCATGGAGCCGCAGCTGAAGCGCAGCCCGTTCCGCACACGGCCGAGGCGGGCATGCCGCAGTCTGCCCCCAGCACAGTCGCAGAACCCGACTCCGGCGAGGAGGTTGGCCCCGATCCTCTTCTGCAGGCGACGTCTCGGGTCGCCGCAAGGGCCCGGGGCCGTGGCCGTCGCGGGGGTCGCGGGCGCGGGCGATGTGGCCCCGCAGCAACACCAGCTCAGGAAGCCTCCGAGGGGCCACTTGAGACGCGAGCCATCCGACGCGCTGCAGCCGCTGAAGCCGGCATCCAAACAGGGCTGCTTGCGCTTGATGCGGTTTCGCTTGAGGACCACTTTCGCCGGAGGGTGCTGACCCTGCAGGGAGTCCCTGCGCGCCTCCGTAGCACGCTCCGCGCCGCTATGCGAGCAGGTCTCCGGCTCGCTGTGGAGGGAGCTTCCCCAGAAGACGCTGCGCGCGGGTGGAAACTGTTCTTCCTAGCGCCGCGCATGCTGCTCTTCCGCTCGCCCGGTGAAACTCGGGTCGCCCCTGAGGAGCTTGACCGCCGGGGCAGTCTGTTCCAACAGGGGCTGTGGCCTCAGCTCCTTGCAGACGCCTCACGGGCTGCGCCCACCCATCCGCGCAATGGATCCTCAATGCCGGACGATACGGCCAGGGCTGCCCGGGCGGCTGCGCTCGTCCACCTTGGCGAGCTCTCTGCTGCGGGGCGCGCGCTAGTCTGCGAGCCACTTGCGCCCGGCAGCGAAGCCACGCTCGCTGAGTTACGCGATCCCGCCCGGCGGCCTTCCGAGCCTTACGGTCCGATCGCTGGCAAAGCGCTTGAATTCCAGCCCCCGGAACCCTGCCCGCTTCCCCTCGCTGCCTTCGTCGAAGGCTTGCGCGGCGCCAGGCGTGGATCTGCGGCTGGGCCTTCGGGCGCTACGAATGAGTACTTTCGCATCCTTCTCGATGATGAGGAGGACACTTTGCGCTTGCATGCGGCTGCTGAGCGGATTGCCACGGCAGAGATCGCGCCGTCCATCCTGGATGCGTTACGAGTCGGGCGGATCGTGGCCCTGCGCAAGCCAGCCGGCGGAGTCAGAGCCCTCGTTGTCCTGGCTCAGACTTTCTCCGCCCAACTCCAGCAAGCTTGTCAACCCTTCCAGTTTGGGCTCAGCACGAGAGCTGGAACTGAGGCGCTCGCCCGTGTCCTACGCGTTGCAACCGAGGTCGACCCGCGTGCCACGGTGCTGTCGGTCGATGCAGCTGGGGCATTCGACCATGTGTCCCGGGCTGCGATGCTGGCGGCGTTGCATGCGCAACCAACGCTACAGCCTCTCCTCCCATATGCCCGACAGTTCTACGCCACAGCTAGCCGCTACGTGTGGACGGACGACCAAAGATGCAGCCACGAGGTCTGCCAAGCTGAGGGCGGCGAGCAAGGGGACCCCCTCATGCCCGGGCTGTACGCCCTGGCCGCGCACGGTGCTCTGCAAGCTGTCCAATCACAGCTCCGGGATGGCGAAGCTGTTTTTGCTTTCCTGGACGACATCTACGTCGTTGCTGCACCTGAGCGGGTCCTCCAGCTGTATGAGCACGTCGAGGTCGCCCTGCGGGAGCATGCGCGCGTCCGCCTCAACCGCTCCAAAACCAAGGCCTGGAATGCCGCTGGCGAGGAACCGCAGGGCATCCGGGACCTCCAGCCTGAGGGCGGTGATCTGGTATGGGTTGGGGATTGGGCGTTGCCCCAGGATCAGCAGGGTCTCGTCGCGCTGGGCACGCCGCTCGGAACCGATGCCTTTGTGCAGTGCCAGCTCCGCATCAAACGTGCTGCCCAAGACCGGCTCCTGGAGCGCATCCCGCATGTTGACGACCTCCAAGCTTCCTGGTTGTTTTTGCGCTACTGCGCTGCGCCGAGGGCAAACTACTTGCTGCGAGTCCTGCCCCCCGCGCTCAGCGAGGAATACGCCGCT